CTCCAGTAGTGGGGGTAACGTTTAATAGCACAGCAAGTAAATAAATGTTGGAGAGGATGTAGAGAGATAGGAACTCTTAAACATTGTTGGAGGGATTGTAAAATGGTACAACCTCTGTGGAAGGTAGTTTGGCATTTCCTCAAAAAGCTGAAAATAACAATTCCATATGGCTGAGCTACTCCACTGCTTGAAATATACTCCGAGAAAATGAGAACTGAGGAACAGAGTCGTGTACATCAATGTTCATAGCAGCATTATTCACCATTGCAAGAACATGGAACAGCCCAAATGTCCAACCACAATAGAATGGATTGAGAAATTATGGTATATTCACATGATGTAATACTACATAGCATGCAGGAACAATGATTTTGTAAATTACTGCCTAACTTGGGAGGGACTGGAGAGCATTATGCTAAATATACTAACTCAGTCACATAAGGACAAATATTGTAGAAGACCATTACTGTAGAATGAGTATGGGGACCCAAGGGGGGTATACGCATAATTATGGTGGGGGATGATTAACCATAGAGTTGTATACAATTTGATGGGTGGAGGGAGAGGTGAGTTAAGCAAATGGGTAAGATCTGGTGTAAAAGACCAATGTATATGAACTTTGTAAATAAACCAGTATTTAAAATTAAAAAAAAACAACCCAAAAAACCAAACTGGTGCTTCAGATACACCAGCTGCTCTGAGAGAAAAAGATAAGTAATCTCTTTCTGTGCATGCACAGCCTTGGGAATTAACTGGAGGTTCCACTGTGAATCTGAACAAACTCAGAGGCAATGAGAGAGACAGTTTCATTAGTTTGGTTTCATTTAGTCTTCTATGAAAAATAGTGACTGTAAGAACAATAGATCAATGTCATCTCTAATAAGCTCAAATCCATTGTTATAGTCATATTATCAATTCAACTCCTTGAAAGTGTCCTCTCTTTTTCTTTCAAAGTATAATGTCTCTGTTCAAGGAGTGATTCTTCTTGAAAATATGTCCAAGTAAATAAAATGAAGTATCACCAGCCTTGCCTCTAAGGAGCACTCCAGCTGCACTTCCTCCAAAACAGATTTGTTTATTCTTTCGACAGTTCATGGTACATTTAATACTCTTTGTCAACACCAGCTCAAAGGCGTCAATTCTTCTTAGGTCATCCTTATTCATAGTCCAACTTTCAGATGTAAATGCAGCTGGATCAGGCTTGGATTATGTGTGCTTTAGTTTTTAAACTGACAATCTTGCTCTTTAGCACTTTGTAGTGGTCCTTGATTTCCCCCAAATCAACATGCCTTTTGATTGACTAAGGATGACAGTAGAATCCATGCCTTTGAGTTGTCATCTTGGAAGACAATACTGAATATTTCATGGACTTAAAAAAAGCAAAACAAAAAAAAGTTGTCTTGAAAATACAACCAGGGTGCTCCTTGAAAGTAAGGACAGTGAAGCTTCTTCTCACATATTTTGGGAATGTTGTTAGGAGAGAACAGTCCTTGCAGAAGGACATTCTGCTTGGAAAGGTGGAGAGTCAACAAAAGAGAGGAAGATCCTCAACAAGATGGATTGGCATAGTGATAGTGAGGATAGCACCAGACATGGCAACATTCAGACCGTTATGAATTACAGTCAACTCATCAATACCTAACAATCACACTGCCATGAATATTAATTTTGGATGTAAGTAAAATGAAACCATTGACAACTTCAATCTTTTCTCCATCTATCACGATGTCATTTATTGGTCCAGTGGTAGAGATTTCCGTATTATTGTTGTTGAGATGTATTCTTTCATCTTCTTCAGTAAGAGCTTATCTCCTTTCCTTTATGTAGAATGGTCAAAACCCCCCAAATTCACTGTCCTGTTCTTTCCCTTCCACACTGCAGGATATTTTAAACTCTTTGAGGGTAAATCACTGTCTTATAAACCTTTCTAACTCTCTCCAAATGATATTTATTTGTTATACAGTGTCACTCACTATACACAGATATTTATATATATATATATATATATATACTATACATCTTTCATTTATAGAAGAATTAAAAAATGGTTCCAATAAAAACATCAGTAATAAGTAATTTTTATTGCTTTGTGGTAAGCCACACAGTTTGAATCTACCAGCTGGCCCACAGAAGAAATATGGATAGCCACTTCTCACATAATTTACTGTCTCTGAAAACCCACTACAGGGTAAGCTACGAGTCGGTTACAACTTGACAGTACATAACAACAACCAAGGCTTGTTATGATTGTTTCTATATAAACTAGTTGCATTTCTACAGAAATATTTGAAGCATAATATACACTCTTATTACTGTTATACTCATAAGGAAACTAACACATGGAAAAGTAGTGACTTTTGGAACATCACATTGTGGAGTTAGGATTTGAATCAGGAAAACGGCATTAAGAACTAATGATAAAAGGTGATAAACTAGTTTGTATTCCACGTCTCCATTATATGAAATGAACAGTGTTGAACAGAAGCCATTAAATAGCCAATTCTCAAAGAAAAGAATCCCGTAACTTAGTAAAAATATCTCCCATGTAAGGCAAAATACTTTATGCAATAATAATATTAATAATGACTATCATTAACAGGATTGTCACTATTAATTGTAGTTGCTGTTTTACGTTCACTAATTTGACTGTGACTCATAACAACTCTACGCGCAGCTTATCAAAACTTTCCCCAACCTTGTGCCATCCTCACAATCTATGTTGTACTTAAGCCCATTGTTGCAGGTCCAGTGTCATTCCATCTCATTTAGGGTCTTTTCTCCTTTGCTAACTCTCCAGTGTTATGCCTACCTTCTTATCTTTTGGTAATGTTGCATTTTCCCCCCCTGGCCAATTCAGTTCTTTATTAATGAAGCCCAAGCCATTCAAAGGCCATCATCAATGCTCATTTCCATGATTTTCAGTGTTGGCCCTTTCACATCATGATTATTGTCACCTGTGTCCCTGGAGAATGAACAGCCTGGGACAGGGGTGGGCTGGGACAAGCCACTGCAGTTAAAATCTCCCCCTTTTCAGTTTCACTGTCACCTTCGAGGACTTCCACAGAGACTTCCTAGCTTATGCTCTCTGGGACTTGCAGTGTCTTGTCCCGTGAAGGTTCAAGGCTTGCTTCATCATGCACCTGCTGGATTACAACTTCTCCACATTGGTGTTTCGTTTTAGAGACGGGCATGAAGAAATCATTCAGTGAAGACCACATTTTCTTCTCACCCTTCTGTGCCAGCATTAACATATCCAAAGCCTTCTGATATTCTTGACGTTCTTGTTGAATTGTTAGTTCATGTGCATGTTTAAATGTATTCTGCTTTTCTTTCTAAGTCTTTTCAAAATCACAGAAAGATAATTTGTCAACATCAGAGTTTTCCTCGGATAAGAAGCCCAAGTTCGCCTTTAGGACATGTAGCAGGTGGCGCATTTTCCCCTCCTCCAAATGATGTTTGTTTTCGTTTATGTGTCTCTCAAAAAGTCGTTCTAAAAACCTGTTTGAGAATAAACCAAGTTTCAAAATTTCTTCTGTTATATCTTCAATGAAACTCGGGTACAACAGTTCCTCATCATCAGAGTGACTTTTTGTCCTTGACGAGCTTCGCAGAGAAAACTGGGGTAATGTCCTTGACGAGCTTCAGAGAGAAAACTGGGGTAATGTCCTTGACGAGCTTCAGAGAGAAAACTGGGGTAATGTCCTTGACGAGGAATTCTGAAGAATGCTGTCTTCAGGCTCATCCCAAGCTGTGCTACTCCTGTGTGACAGTGAAGGTGTGACCTTTTCTTTGGTACCATGTGTTAAACATCTCACTGTCTGCTTTGTGTTAATTTCTGAATCTGTCAAATTCTCAGTTTCTGCTTTTTCTGCTTTCTGACAATTAGAGGTAAAACTGCTCAGTTCAGTCTGGGTTTCAGCTTCTGCTGGAGGATTTTTTTTTCCTTTTGGCAGGTGTGTAATACCGATACTGTGACAGGAAAGACTTTGCTTCTGTCTTTAAAGTGTGTGGAGTGAATGGCAATGACTTTTTAGAAAAGAGTTCAGAATGTTTATCCAAGAGGTCTCCACTGGATGCTTTGGAGGAAGCTAACGGATTCTGGTGGGGATGTGGGCTCTTGGACACCCTGCCCCAGGTGGTTCTGGTGCTGGCTCTTCTGGCCCGGGAAGCTATGTCCTCCGTACTAGACAGGGAGGAGCTGGAGGTCTTTGCAGTACCATTCATGAAGGCTTTGTTGGATTTAGATGGACCAAGGAAGAATCTCTCGGAAGAGAGTCCTAATGACCTTGTAAAAGACGGGAATTCATTTAATTCTTCTATCATGCCAGCTTTTTCTGGTTCTCCTGAAGGCTTTAGTAGACTGTTTAATAATGACTTGGACTTCATTTTGGAATTGGCCTGCATTTTCTGTCTAGCTGATCTGAACTCCTTTTCACATCGTGCTAACTCCTTTTTTAGTTTCTCTCTTCTCTGTTGGTCTGCATATTTGATGTTGCTATTCACACTTAATGGAACTGAGCAATCTATTGCCGCATTACTTTTGGTGCTCAAGTGTCCTGTAAGAAGGCATGGGGAATCATATCTGGGGAGGACTCTTCAGCTGCCATCCATTATTGATGATCCTTCAGCAGCCGCTGTGGGGACAGCCGGGGCCCCTCGGTTGTTGTTGGGGCCAGGTCCAGCCTGAGACTCCCAGTCGGTGGGGAGCCGGGGAAGGGACCAGTAATGTTGCATTTTATAGTGTTGAAAATATTTGTAGTGATATAGGAAAATATATTTAACAACACAACATTTCTAGCACAAATGTAGCTAAAAGGAATTCATCCTAAACGTATGAGATTAAACTAGTCTTTAATAGAATTTTAATCAAAATCAATAAGTGAGGCAGAAATAAATTCACAGATGAAACAATACACATTGATCATGTGATCATGATCAATGATTTTAAATCTCTAACTTGCAAACAAATATTATAAATTGTCTATTTAGCCACATCTTACCAAATGACACCTCATGTTTTCTCAATTGTTGGTCATATTTCTTAGATAAATTGTAGATGCTTGATGCATAAATTTCCAAAGCTTTTGCATAGTCTTGAATATTGAAAGGAATGATTTTAGAGTCTGCAAGTTCATATACCAGCGCTCCTCGTAACTGGGCCACAGATAGCTGTTTTTTAAATGTAGGATCATAAAATTTCTCTACCAACTCAAATGTCTCGTAAATAGTGTGGTATACAGGGTAGTTACTGTAGTTATCTGTTTTCTTTAAAAGAAAAATGGGGAAAACAGAGCATAGACAAACATTAAGTATTCAAGTTATATTATTTAACTTACTAAAGACGATTACAGAAAGAATGCAGCATTTTGCAATCCTGACTTTTTTAGCACAATGAAGTAAAATTTAAAATTGAATTAACCAAAACATTATAACCAAATATTTCCTTATTTTAAATTATTTAGCATTCATTTTCTAATTCATGCAAGCTATGTAACACATTGTCTATTCAAAATAATGCTTGTTGATAATTTAAATCTTCTTTAGCATATGTCTGGTAACTACAATTCAAAATTTATACTCAAATTATACATTGACCAGTACAAAATTGTCTCTCAAGTGTTTGAGAATAAAGATTGTAGGCAGTTAAATATCTAAAAATGTAAAGGGCTTTCCATTTAAGAATCATTTCAAAAATGTAATACTTTTGCTTATACATCTGTAAAATTTGTTTCACTCTTTCCAAACAGCACACAACCAAAACAACTTTACCTGTATTCCATAATTAAGGGTTAGCATTATGAACATAAAATATGAAGGCACCTACATAAATATTTGTTTTAATTCGTATGTTTGTCTTTCTTAATGAGATGGATTGATTCTGTGACTGGATTGGTGGGAATGAGTGCATTTGAGGTGGCTAGGTTGGCACAGGACAGAACGGCACTTAGAATTCTTGTAGATAGGGTCGCTATGAGTCACAAGTGACTCAATGGCACATAACAACGACAACAACAACCATTAAAAAGAACTCTTTAAATCAGTTCCTCTCACCTCTAATTTTATGCCTCTAATTTCCAGAGGTCTTAGAAACTAGACAATTTTGTTCAGATGGGTGAATGGGCTTTGAAGAACAGCTAAAATACATTGGTTTTATATGTTAGGTATAATGGGGATTACTGAACAAACAACTTGTATTCATATTTTTACATTTTCAAGTTAGTTTTCTTATTCTCTGATTTTCGTTGTATTCTGGATAGTTATATTTGCAAGTTCTGTATTGTTATATGCCATCAAATTAACATAGGGATGCTGCTATGAGGAGTAGACCTGAACCTTGCTCTACCCTGCCCCATCCTCAGATATTCTTGTATGCTCCCACTTATTGTTATATTCATTGTTCCAATCTATCATTGAGAAGATCTTCCTTTCTTTCACTGATCCTTCACCTTTACCAACATGATGTCTTTTTCTAAGGACTTGTGCTTCCTGAAAGATGCTCCCAGTATGTGAGACGAAGTTTCATCATCCCTACCATTACAGAAGATCTTGATTACACCTCCTCCAAGACAGACTTATTTATTCCTTTGGCAGTCCACAAAATATTCAATACTCTTCTCCAAACCACAACTTAAAAGCATTTATTCTTTTGTCATCTTTATTCACTGTCCAACTTTCAGATGCATAGGAAACACCTGAAAATACTGTAGTTTGTATCTTAATCTTTAAATTGCTATCATTGCTCTTTAGCATTTGGAGATGTCCTTGACAACAGATTTTCCCAATGTAGCATATCTTTTGAGCTCTTGGCTTCTGCTCCTATGGAAGTAAATTGTGGATCTAAGGAAAATCAAATTGTTGACAGATTCAATCTTTTATTCTCCATATATCATGATGATGATAGTCTAGTGGTATTTCTATTTTCTTGCTGTTGAGACATAATATTAATTAAAGTTCACAGTCTTTGATCTTCTGCAGCATTTCAGGTCTTCTTCACTTTCTGCAAGCAAGGTTGTATCACCTGTATAATGCAGGTTATTGATCTTTCTCTAATCCTGATTCCACATTCTTCTTCATATAGTTCAATTTCTCAAATTATTTCCTTTGCATCAGAGAACTGCCGGAAGTCCAG